ACTCTGGCTGATGCTTACTGGGCTGTAGTTTTATTTAACCTGGAATGTGCCGTGAGATGTTTTAGAATATTATGCAAACTTGTGGCATGTTACTACTAAATGCAATTGTATACTTTTTGAAAGAGCTGCAGCTTGGAACACTGTTAGTATGCATTTATTTACAGAGCAAGCTTTTGCAGCAGTGAATGTCGAATACAAAGTGTTATTATCTTAATGGCTTTTGGCATTGCAGATTGTACTGCCCTTAACTTATCTTAAGGAGCTCTTAAGGAATAATGCAATTGTCTAGATGGCTGGAGAGTAACAGGTTGCAGTGAGTATAGCTTTCAGATATTGAAAAGATGCAATTTATATGGCTAAGCCATTCGCTATTACCCCAAGTCATCCTGGCTGGTTGAAGTTTAACAGATTTAACAGATTAGAGCTTGGTAAAAGGTCAGATATCTCCTTCAGTGGAGTGTGCCTTGTTGTGGTGCTGTAAGGCTTGATGAGTCTTATCATCAGAGAACTGGTGTGTTTTTCTCTGGGGTTAATCGCTGAGAACAAAGGCGCATATGAGGCCTGTCTCCAGGCCTGCTGGTCCTTGCTAGTTGTGTGTAATTAAAGAGGACTTTGCATGGCGTTCAGAACCAGCTGCGGCGGACACAGAGATGTCTTTGCGCAACAGGAAGGACCAAGTAATAATACTATTCACAGTCATTCTACTAGGATGCTACCAACGCAACATAAAATTAGGGCTAAGGACAGCCAAGAGCACTGGACATAAGAACATAATGCAGCCGTAAACTTGAGTATAAATATGTATCTAATACGTAGAGAACCAGTGATGTCAGATATTTAAATTTTATTTTTTATATCATGTTAGTATTTGTTGTATTATTTACTAGATTTATTGAGTACTGAATGTTGAACCTTATTAAGGAATAATGCAATTGTCTAGATGGCTGGAGAGTAACAGGTTGCAGTGAGTATAGCTTTCAGATATTGAAAAGATGCAATTTATATGGCTAAGCCATTCGCTATTACCCCAAGTCATCCTGGCTGGTTGAAGTTTAACAGATTTAACAGATTAGAGCTTGGTAAAAGGTCAGATATCTCCTTCAGTGGAGTGTGCCTTGTTGTGGTGCTGTAAGGCTTGATGAGTCTTATCATCAGAGAACTGGTGTGTTTTTCTCTGGGGTTAATCGCTGAGAACAAAGGCGCATATGAGGCCTGTCTCCAGGCCTGCTGGTCCTTGCTAGTTGTGTGTAATTAAAGAGGACTTTGCATGGCGTTCAGAACCAGCTGCGGCGGACACAGAGATGTCTTTGCGCAACAGGAAGGACCAAGTAATAATACTATTCACAGTCATTCTACTAGGATGCTACCAACGCAACATAAAATTAGGGCTAAGGACAGCCAAGAGCACTGGACATAAGAACATAATGCAGCCGTAATCTTGAGTATACATATGTATCTAATACGTAGAGAACCAGTGATGTCAGATATTTAAATGTTATTTTTTATATCATGTTAGTATTTGTTGTATTATTTACTAGATTTATTGAGTACTGAATGTTGAACCTTATTAGAAGCACTTTATTCTATGTGAAGCCTCTCTTGCTCAGCAGTACCCTTGAGGGCTGAAAAAAGGGTGGGAAACGAAAAACAAAACATTTATTTTCAGGGTGTTCATAAAAGCATGATTCCTAGGTCTGGAAAAGTTATGCAAATTTAATAGATTCTTAAAAGGTCAAATAAAATTCATTTTTGACAAATTCAATGTCAGTCAATGCATTTTTGGTTATAGTCAGTATTTCAAGAAATGACTATTTGTGAGTGCAATTGTGAGATACACGCACATACATCTAAATAATACATATTAGTCATCACAAACAACTGAAAAAGTAATGAAAAAATTACGGAAGTTCTGAAAACGCTACTTTAAACATACAAGAGAAAATCTTTGTCAGTCAAACATTTAAAATTGTAAGATGGGGTTTGTACCAGTGTACTAGTAATTTTGGCATTTCATATTCCATAGCAAATGGCATGAATGGCAAAACAAGTGCAACCAGCCATACTAACACTGTGAGGTGGGAAGCTATGATGTTGGGTAATGTTGCGTGATCTTCCACTGCTGCGTTGCATGAAAAAAGTCATAGTAAAACAGAGTGCAGAATTTATTGTTCTCATTCTTATGTTGGCTGGATTGCTAACTTTTATAGCATTGGTAAGAATGTGCTCAAAATGTAGGTGTTTGTGTTTTATTTTTCTTGTGAAATATTATTTCCTCATCTATCAGAGACAGATTGTTTCTGTTTCTTACCTCTCCTTGTTGAAGTATTTCCATAGTGTAAGATGTGAAATTAACAAATATGCAGTATAAGCCCATTTTTCCCAGAGAAGCGTAAATCACCCACAAACGAATCATATATGTATCACAAAGGAATCATGGCTTTGTTAATCAAGGACGCTGTCACTGACATTGATATTTCTTCCCAAATGCTTGAGCAGACATAATTGATCTTAGAAAGTAATATCTCTCCTTGACTGCTCTTTGTAGAATAAATGCAATCACCATGGCATGTAGTCAGATTGATCTGAAAAGCATACTTCTGCTGTTGCCCTTTTCTCATTTCTCTACTGTAATAAAAAGCAGACAAGTAAAGTTGAGGAAGATAATTTAGATAACATAGAGGAAGAATTTTATAAGTGACTGGCGAATGCTGGCAAAATATTTTTAAAAAGAAAAAAACGGTCATATCCTGACACTATTGGAATCACCAGAGTTTGCATATCTATTTATTCTGCAAAAATAAGAAAATAAAATTATTTTTGCTGATTGGAGTTATGTGAATCCCAAAATAATAAGACAGATTAGTCATGTAGTTCAGGCAACACACAGGCTAATTGATTTCAAAAATATGCAGTTTTGCGCGTCCTTGTTTAGCACCTTGATTAAGCACATTTTGGATAATTTTCTGTTTGTAGCACCCACAATTCAGTCTTTTTGTTTTTGCGGTTTTATTTATGTGCCGTGATTAGCACTCTACATTGCCTGCAGTACTGACAAGCAGCAGTGATGAGGACATTCTTTCACAAAGTCGTAGATTCTGGAAAAGATGATTGGTTCTTTTTATTGTTAATTAATCTCCTGATTGGTCTCCCTGCTCTGATGGTCCTGTGCGTTGAATCAGGCTTCTCCTGATTTGCATATGTATAAGCCGTCAAGTTTCCAATTAGTGGTGATGATTGCACCTTTTACTAAAACCATAGCCAGTTTTGAAATGAGCTTGTTCTCATTTATTTTTGCAACCATGGGCATTTCTGTTCATGTTATGGCTGTGTTTGTGAGTTAATTTATCTTGCTCTAATAAGGGAAATTTGCATATCTAGTTTATAGTAAGCTAGTATCTAGTATATCGTGTTCGTATTTGTTGCATTATTTACAGGATTTATTAAGTACTGGATGCTGAACCTTAATAGAAGCACTTTATTTCTCATGAAGCTTCTCTTGCTCAGAAGTGCCCTTAAGGGCTTTTCTCAATAAACAAGCTGCTCTAGGCAGTTGCCTCACCAGTGTGACTCCATTACTACTAATTATTCACAAATTTGCCCAAATTTACAAAAACTACAAAGTTTTTCCAATCTGTTGCTGTTTAATAAGTTTGTGGATTAAAATTTAATTGTCTTTTGGAACACTGTTCATGTACACTAGCATGTTGCTAAGATTACAGTTCAATAGCATAAACAAAATATTGAGCCAACTAGTACATTATGATAATAATTTTGAACTTTGATTAATTTTGCCTTCTGTCTGAAGAATAGTTGCAATGCTTTCAGCCTGCCTATACACACCTAAGGTGCCTTAAGATGCTGTCTAGTTAGGCAGCTCACTAGATTTTGATACAGAACTAAAGGCTCAAGACAGACTGTGCTGTTGGGGACATAAATCTTATCTGGTTTCCATGGTGACACTTTGTAATGACCCAGTCAAACCCTTGTTCTTTAGTCTGGTATTTTATTGTAATTCATGCGTTCTGAAGAGGAAGCCTGTCTTGATCTACCTCATTGACTTATCATCTTTGTCTGTGATTACATGTGTCTACCATCATCTGATTATGGCTCATTTATTCTTTCTAGTACACAATGTTAAAACGATACAGAATACATCTGTCAGCTTTCTGTTGTATTCATTAATAAAATGTCATTAGATCAAGAGAGATGAAATACAAATGATCTACAAATAGGGAGATTTAGCAGCATTTTTAATAGATAGCTATGTTGAGCTATGTAAAGGAGTTACAGCTTCAGTCTGGAGTTAGTCTTGGGATTTGTCTTTCAATTTCTTTCCTTTGGAATGCATTTGCATACCCATGCTTTTTAAATTATTTGATTTACAATGCAATTTCTAAGAAAATGTTTGTCTATAATCACAGCTTTGTGAATAAGCCTTTGAGTATGACAAAAGTGGCAGAGGGGGTGTTACTTCATAAAGAACAGTGTTCAAGTCAGCTTTCTAGTACACAATGTTAAAACGATACAGAATACATCTGTCAGCTTTGAGTATGACAAAAGTGGCAGAGGGGGTGTTACTTCATAAAGAACAGTGTTCAAGTCAAACCATGTGCCTATGAATTATGGTTTGTTTGCGTCACTGAAGGTGGGAATAAACCCTAATCTCCTGTTAAGACTGTGTGTGTGTGTGTGTGTGCACGAGCGTGCATGTTTTATAATCATAGCATGTCCTCAGTGCAAGCATTTTTTCTCATTCTTTCTCATACATACACACACACACACACACACACACACACACACACACACTGGATCTAATAGTAATAGGGCTAATAGGGCTGGATCTAATAGTATGGTGCGGCAATAAGGACCATCAGAATATTTGGTGACACTAAAATAATAGGATGTCTGTATTTCTGAGATATTTTCTTAATATTATTTAAATAAAAAATTATTTGCTACAGTATATTTATCAAATCTTATTGTATGTGTCTTTTTTCTAGGTTGAGTGGTTGTGCTTGAATTGTCAAACACAGAGAGCTCTAGCTGATCAGCTGGGAGACATGGGAAAAATACCAATATCCAGCCCAAAAGACAAGTCTACAGTCACATCCAAAATACAGCTGCCTGAGACTCCTGCACCTGCACAGACAACTATTCCAAAATCTGAGCCAAAACCATCACCTGGAAAGCAGGCAGAGGAGGAGAAAACCAATTCTACTACTGTTGCAAAGGCAGCGGTGACCACTCCAGTGGTCCCTGCATCTCTCTCTGTTGTTCCTACCACAGATATGCTGCAGACAGGGATGACAGCTGTGGTGGCACCAATACCAGCTGCAGAGACTCAGAAAGCTGTTTTTACTGCTGCTGAGGTCACTTTAAAAGAAACCGGCAAAGACAAAGTCCCTGACGAGACACAAGTAGAAACAGAACCGATGTCTATGCTTCCAGCAGTGCCAACTGAGGCAAATGTAGTAAAGGTATAATGTTACATATACATTATTGAGCAATGCGTTTTTTTTATTTTATAATTTAAACATTTGTTTTATATTATTATTTTATTTTAGTGCATTAAAAAATTGTTAGTCGTGAATAGGAGGCAGCTTCTGAAACGCGTCGATTTTTACAAAGCTCATCGTTCTAAACAAGTGAGGTGTGCTGTGATTGGCCAGCTATCCAGTGCGTTGCATCGCGCCGCTTAAACATAAAACCATGTCTGCATTTGTGATCGGAGCAACGAAACACAGCGTCACACACGGCGGCCTTGAGTGAGCGGCAGTGGCCTAGAGTGAACAGAAGCCGGGGGCTAGCGTGAGGAACGGCCGAAGGGCTAGAGTGAGCAGAGGCGGCAGATTCGACGAAGGAGTGTCCGGCGGGCTTGCGGCAACCACATGTGACGACCCCGGGCTGGACTCCGCTTCGTCCACGGTGAAAGCTGATCTGGCGATCCACAGCGCAAAGTTGTAGTATTTCCTCAGCAACCAGCATGGATCAGCTCCAGGCATGACAAAGCAGATATCGTCCTCTTTTGGAAGGCCAAACAAAGTAGTTTCGCTTTCACAACGAATCACACAGTGCCTTCACGACATGGCGGCGGCAACAACAATACTACAGCGAGAATAAAAGTTACGCCTTCTTTCTTTGTGTGAACATTTGGGCGGCGTTATGCAAATCTTCCCACATAGTGATGTAGATATGTGGGGGTGTGTTAGAACGAGCCGTTTTAGGTAGGCGTGGCTGACTCTTAACTTTTATAAAGAATATATCTCTGGATTTTTGACTTTAGTATTTGCAACTTTACAGATCTTCTTTATGCACCAAGAGCTTGTAACACTCCAAAGAGAAAGGAAAAATTTAAATCGCATCATATGACCCCTTTAAGAAAAGAGCTACAATATTAATGTAATGTATTTGCCATTTTTCTTTCTTCATTTTCCTTAGGTTAAAGAGGATATATACACTCAACCTGCAATAGAAGGACAACAGAAAGATGTTGTGGTACAGATGGATAGCAGTCTTCCAGAAATGTCTAAAGTAGACACCTTAAAAGCAGATATTAAAGAGCAACATAAAAAGGACATCTTGCCGGTATCGGTAGAATCATACAGCTCGGCTGAGGAGGAGCTAAAGGAGATACAGAGAGTAAGTGAAATGGGCATAAAAGAAACCGCTACAAAACTGTTGCCTGTCAGAGCACCAGACAGTGTAAAACAATACCACGAGGACAGCAGTGAGAGTGAACCCTCCCCTCAGATACAGAGAAGAAGAGTGAGGCCTGCTTCCTCTAGCAGTGAGGACTACAAACTAGACAGTTCAAATTCTGGAGATGACGAAGAGTTCATACGCAGGCAACTGATACACATGGGAGAAGACGGGAACTTGCCTTCTGATGAGGAAAAACACAGAGAAGAACAACACTCACAGCAAGAAACCAGAGAAGTTGAAAAATCGGATGATTCCATGAGGCCTAAACGTGCCCTAAAGAAACTTACTGTAGAGCCTGAGGAGATTTCTGATATCACTCTGTCTTCTCACGACCAAGATGATCAAGTTGCCCAAGTCATCCCAGTCTCAGAAGCATTAGAAGAAATCAGAGTGGAAATAGATTTGTCAAATGACAATGAGAAGATCATAGCTACTGACACCACAGCAGTTGCCATCATACAAAAAACTCCTGTTAGACAGACCATGGAGGAGCATGAGAGTCTGACTGAAGACTCGTCCAAGGGTGATGGGTCATCCAGTGTTCAGGTGTCTAGCATCACACCAGGAACAGCTTCACCTACTTCTGTTTCCTCTATTGATGAGGACAGTGATAGTAGCCCAAGTCATAAAAAGGCCAGAGAGGAGAGTAAACAGCAAAGAAAGGCAAAACACAGACCTCATGGTCAGGCCCTTCCCACTATAGAAGACTCATCTGAGGAGGATGAGTTACATGAGGAGGGTGAACAGATGAAGCAGGAAGATGAAAGAGATGATCAGCCGCAGTTAAGAAAGATCAAGAAAAAATTAAAGGCAGAAAGAGCTGATCTGGGCATGCAAAGGAGACGGGATCATTTGCCTAAAACTGATAAATTAAGGCAGGCAGCAGGGATGGAGGAATGGAAGTCCTCCTCCTCCTCTGAATTTTCACCTAGTTTTGAATCTGAACCAGAGAATGCAGAATACAGAACATTATCATCTGAAACACATGATGCAGCAGAGAAGCCATTAAAGACTGCTGAAGAAGTATATGAGGAAATGATGCAGAAAGCGCAGGAATACAAAACATCAGAGAAATTCACACCACCTGATATTGAACCATTATATGGAGGCATGTTAATAGAGGACTATGCTTATGAAACTTTAGTTGAAGAACAAGAACAGGCTGCAACAGCTCTTGGTAAAGTCACCCAAGAGCAAGATTTGAGAAAGATGTCTGAACATGAGTCGGTGAGGATACTTATGACACCAGATGAGGCTTATGAAGAGATGATGAATAAAAGAAGCAAGATCATGCAAAAAGAGAAGGAGGCTCAGCAAGCACATGCAACAAAGATCGACACATCCTTGCCACTTGATGTCAGTGACACTTGTTATGTGAGTATTTCTGGAAATTATGCACTTTCTACAGATAAAAATGCAAAGCCACTGTTGGAAACAGAGGATGCCTATGAAGAGCGATTGAAGACACAAAACGATGTTTTAACACCAGGAACAAGTCCTACTCCGTCAACTCCTGTGTCTCCAGCCTCCCCTCTGACTGTGTCTGAGTCATCATATGATTCCCCTGAGGTGATACTCATCCCTTCAAGTGGGGAAGAAGACAACTTAGCTGAACCTATTGAATGCATTTTGGAGCCTTATATTACAGATTCTACACTCAGATTCTATACTCAGAATGTATCTGGGATTAAAGCTTTATATCCAATTCCTGACTTAAAGATCACTCAGTGCTCCTCTGGTGAAGAGGAAGTTGAAGAGGAGGACAGTGTCACACAAGAAAAAATGTCCCCTGAGCCAACTGATATCCCTCAGAGTGAGGAGGAACCACAGGCCCCAGAAGAATCATTTGAAACTGTTCCCATTTCTGTAATATGTGAAGTTCCTTCATCAAAACGTGTTGTGGAGACGACAGCAATATCACCACTGTCTCCACCAACATCTCCAGCAGTCTCATCCCCAGATTCAAATATGGAACTAACAACAGCACCATCATCCTCTCCGGTTTCTGGCCAGACATCTGAATTAACTACTCCAGCTAGCCCTAGTGTTGCTGAAGTTTCTGCCACAGTTGTAATTCACATTCCAGACTTGGTGTCTGAGCAAGCCACAACACACCCGTCAGCAACTGCTCCTGTTGCATCATCCACACAGATTATTGGATCCCCTTCACCGGTCATTCCAGCCTCACCACATGTCTCAAAAAATGCTGGCACTCCAACTCCTTCTGAAATTCTTATTTCAAAGCCAACACCAGGTCCAAAACCAACTCCTGCACCAAAACCAGCAGTTATATCAAAACCTACACAGGAAACAGTCCCTACTCCCGATAGTGTTTCATCCTGTACACTGGATTCAGCTCTTCAAGATTTAGCTCAAAGACCTTTGGCCGGTGCAATACATGAACCACTTTCAACTGCTGAATCAGCCACAACAGACAAACAAGCTGTTGCACCAACAATTCATCCAAAAGTTGACCACGTAAAAACTCCTACTACTACAGTTGCTACGCCTATTATTCAGTCTCACAAAGGACCTTTAACACAAACTTCTGTTATTGTTCAAATGCCCAATCTTGTGTCCCCTGCATTAGGCCATCCAGTTCAAGAACAAACTCCAGTTTCAATGCCTACCCCGCCATCCACTGCACAGATGCCAGACCTGGTTACATCTCCATCTCCATCTCAGTCAATATCTTTGACCTTTCCAGTACCTTGTCTAACCTATGCCCCACTTCCAGCTATAGTTTCAGCAGTGGATCAAGCACCTATTTCTGTTCCAACAATGGTATCAGTCTCAATACCAGCAAAGGTTCTCTCTACAGACCAGACCAGCTCAGCTGTTGAACAAGTGGCCACACCACTGTCTGCTCAATCCAGTATTTCTGCTTTAGCAAAAGAGATCCAGCCACCAACCAGTGTTTCTATTCAAATTCCTATTCAGAGGCCAGCAGAAACCAGACTACACATGACACCCCAATTAGGCCAAGCAGCCACTGTTTCACCTCCAGCATGTCATGGAGAGCATACTGCTGCAAAGACAGTCTCTGTTATTTCTCCCATTGTTACTACAACTGTTGCTTTTGGAGCTTCACCCTCCCAACCAGTTCAATCAATGCTAACCAATATTCAGGAAAGGATGGTGGAAATACAGAATGAAAATGTACCAGATGATGGAATTTCTTCTCAACAGTCAGTTTCACAAATCATTTCTCCTGTTGTACAGACACAGCAAGGTCACGTTGTTGTCAGACTGCCAAATCTTGAAAATGTGGCAGTTAAAACAACTATTGAAGATGGGAGAGGGCACCCTGTTATTGTTAGTGTTTCTCCTTTTACTTATCCAGCCACAATATCAAGTTTCATCACTGATTCAACAGTTCCACCTTGTGTGACATCTGCAAAACCCCATGTTCCTCAAGAAAGAACAGATAAACCTGTGATTTCATTTCCACCACCTCCTCCAGCTTCACCACCAGAATTGCCATATAGCGCAGTACCCAAGGCTGATTTTAACCAACAAAAGTCTATTCCAACTCCTTCATCAGGTAATGTAACTCTACCTGAACCCCCACCAAATGTGGCCAGCGTAAATATAAAACCAGCTGTGACACACAAATCACCACCCCCTGTTCCCCCCAAACCTGTATGCATTCCCCCAGGACTGGTATTTAGTCACAGATCAAGAGAGAGCGTAAAGCCACCAGTTAGCCCTGAGCCAGTAGTTGTTCAAGCAGTTCGTGCTGCAACGCTGCCAAGAACAAGGGAACCTCCAAATGCTTTGTCACTAAGTTTGACTGCCCCTGTAGAGACCAAGCACAGTGCTTCTTCACCAAAATCACCTTTATCACCCAGATTTGCTAGAACTCTTGAAACATATGTGGTGATAACATTACCCTCAGAACCAGGATCACCTGTTGAGGGCATTACAACTCAAGCACCGATGAGAAGATCATCACTGCCAACTCCCAGACAGCATGTTCCATCTGATGCCCCAAGAGTGTTTGCTCCATCTGCAGTGGATGCACCTGTGTCATTAATTTCAGCACAAATTGTAGCAGCCCCACCAAAGCCTACCTCAGCTTTAAATACAGCAGTACCCCTTGAGGTGATGGCACCTGACTTTGCTTCAGTCACAATAGAGACTCATCATATTACACTAGCTGCGGATTCAAGTCAAAGTATTATGGAACCTTGTGTAACAGTCCCAGAGCTGCCAGTTGCTTCTGTACAAACATTTGTTTCAGCACCTCTTGTAGTGGCATCATCAGGACTATCAGAGACTATGACTGTTGTTCCTCATATCACAATGGAGAATACAATGCATTCCCCATCTGCCTTTATAACACCACATGTTGTAATGGCACCATCTGCTTTGATTTCAGCAGCACCTGTTGCAGCACCACCACCACCACCACCACCGCCCATTTCTATGGAACCAACAGCATATCCGGCAATGACATACTCCACACCTTCCTTGATTTCTCCTCTTGCCATGGCTCCAGTCTCAGTGGTGCATACATCAAAATCGTCAGAGGAGGTACCAGTAGCCTTAGCCCCTGTGTCAGGAGTTTCTACTGAGTCAGTTCCTCACTATACAGTGAGTGCTGTGCAACAAGAACTTGAGATGCAACAAATGCAAAAAACATATTCTGCTCCAATAACAGTAACCCAGATTCCAATCCCAACTCAAAATGAAGACATTCCTGGTTTGGATATGGAAGAAATACTAATAGTCTCAGCTTCTGAAGAGGCCTTAACTGAACTGGGTTCATCACCAGTACCAATAACACAGCTTCAAGAGCAGCAAACCGTTTATGAGCAAAAACAAGAAATTCCAGTAGTGACCTCTGCAACAACTGTGCCACCAGTACCAGTCACATTTACCCAATTTACAAAATCTATTGAGAGTCAAGAAATTTGTAGACAAGATAAAGTTATATCAAGCATGAGCCAAGTCTACTCTGCAATCTCAACAACTGAGCAGCGTCCTGATGCATTGCCTAATCTCGTGACCCAAGTTGTCACGACTGAAGTACAAAGAACAACAACTGTGTCAGTTGTCCAGGAGAGGATTCCTGTCGAACCCATACCTGAACCTGTGGGTGCTACAATCACAATCCAGCCAGAAGTCCATCCAAAACCTAAACAGAATGGAAAAATACAATACCCTAGTGACGTTATAGATCTTACCACATTTAAAGTTAATGTTACAATGACTGACCAAGGAATGGATTTGACAGCCCCAGATTCAAGTAGGTCTTCCTTGTCAAGTGAATCAAGTGGGCGACAGGCCACTGCTGTACAGCCCGAAATTGTGAATCTTAGTGCTGAAATAATCCCCACTACAACACTCTCTGTTGTAACTGACAGCATAACAATCGTTACTTGCACAGCTACAATTGCCTACAACAACAACACAGTTGACAAGCCTCTGGACCTGGGAAATGCTACTTCAGTGCCTCTTCCACTTACCACATACAATCCATTTGAGCCACTTGCACAGATAGTGTATAGACCTGTAAATTCACAACCTAAGGCTACAACCAGTGCAGAGATTCCTATTAACCTTTCATACAGAGCTGTTGCAAGCACAGCTCCTACTCTTATGCCTGTTACTATAGCCCCGGTGAACTTCACAAATGGCCCTGTTGGTATACCAATACATACAGAGCCAACAGCAGTTGGACCTGTAGACCTCACCACGTGTAAGCCAATGAAAACAATGGTTGCTTTGTCCTCATCTTCTGGAGTGGTCACAACTGTTTTGGAAGATGACGGTACACCAGTTGATCTAACATCTGGAAGACGGACTGTTTGCTGTGATGTAATTTACAAGCTTCCTTTCACAGGGAGCTGCAGAACACAGCCTCCAGTGACCATACAACCAGACAATCAAATTGGCTATCAAATTGATATTGTCACAACGCCTGTCACTGAAGATCTCCGTACCATGAAGGCTTCAATATCTGACAGTAATTTCAAAGAGGCTGGGCTCTTTAGTTATGAAAGGAAGAATGGATTCACCTATCAGAATGGGGCATCTGAGGGGGCTATTGATTTGACATCAGCTAAAATGTCAACAGGTCAGTATGATGGTGCGCATGTATTCTTAATTGATTTTTATTTGTATGTTAATGTATTATTTATTGGTTATGTCCCTTATTTTTGTGATGTTCTCTCTGAATGTCTTGATTTTCATTCTTGTCTTTTTCTGTTCTTTTTTTAACACAGATGCATGCGTTTGCCTCCGTGTTGTCCCTCAGTGTTTTGGCTTTGCATCCTGCTAATCTGATGACACTGACAAGATCTTTGCATGCTCTTTGGCTTCCATTTGATGTTTTATTAGTTAATGTTGCATGAAACAGAGCAATTGTTCATTTAGATGCTGATGATGCTGCTATTCTTGTTTTCCTAACATAACAGAAGAGGCCTTAGACTACTCAAAGAAAAGCACTTTGGCATTTACTGGGATCACCACTACTCCATATTCTCAAGGAACGTCGTTTGGCTTTAATAGTTTGCTAAGAACGACAAATGGCATTGTTTACTCATCGGTTGCTGCACCCGTTCCCTCCACGTATGCAATTACTATCCAACCAGGTTCAATATTTAGCACAACATACAATAGTCTCACCAATTCTACGGATCCACTTTCAGCACTTCCAAATCAGCCTGCTCCATATGGCTTTGTACAAACCACAGCCACAGACCAATCAATATTCCCACAGTCTGATATATCAAAGGATATCCTACCTTCTGCATTAGCCAGTCTCCTTCCCTCCCTGACAACCTTTCCTGAGCTCTACTCGGATGCTACTTTTGAGGCAATAGCAGCCTCACTGGACATGCTGGTATCCCCGAATTTCCCTGATTTAGATGACAGCAAGAGCCAGCAGTACAAGGCTGAACATGAGTTCTTACAGTTAGAGAAGTTGAAACAGCTGTGTCTAGCTGAAGAGCTTGAATGGGAGAGGCAAGAGATACAGCGTTACCGTGAGCAAGAGCAGATCATTGTTCAGAAGGAGCTGGAGGAGCTTCAGAACATGAAGCAACAACTTCTAATGCAGCAAGAAGAGGAACGCAAAGCCCATCTGATTCTTCAGCAAGAAACCTTTGCACAGCAGCAACTTCAGTTAGAGCAAATTCATCGATTACAGAAGCAACTCCAGCAACAACTACAAGAGCAAAAGATATACCCATATGGGTTCGGGCCAAGTGAGGGTATGTCCCCACCCTTGAGCTCAGACATCATACGTGACTCAAAATATTCTGGGGGAGATAATGGACAATTCTGGCCAGTGAAGGATGACAATTCAACATCATCTGCAGTGTCCACCCATGACTCCACAACAGGTCAAAACTGGCTAACAACAACTTCTGGGGCTTTTACACAGTATAGTTCAAGCATTCCTGTATCAGTGAGTGCACAGACAAAGGATCAACTGCAGTTGTCCACAAACCTGCCAGATACAGCCAAGCAAGAGCAAAGTGTGGGATTAAGTGGAAAGAAATTGATTGAGAGTGGTGTTCAAACAGACGATGAAGATGGTGTTGAAAAGATTCCTTCTGGTAGAAGGAGAAGAAGTAGGAGGAGTGTAGATAGCTGTGTGCAAACTGATGATGAGGATCAGGATGAATGGGACATCCCGGTTCGGAGCAGACGCAGGTCTCGTTCCAGTAGATATGCTGATGGAGAGAAGGGAAAAAGCTCCAAGGTATCAAGTATTGCGATTCAGACTGTAGCCGAGATTTCAGTTCAGACAGAGCATTCAGGGACAATTAGGAGATCTCCTGTTCGGGCTCAGGTGGACACAAAAGTAGATTTACACAGAGAGGGCCAAACAGAAAGCGATTCGGATATTACATCAGACAGAGATAAAAGACGTCCAGCTCCTGCTGAGATAAGTGTTAGCACACACCTGACAGCTGGTGATGTTGGAGCATCGTTAGTTACCAAATCTCCAAAGGTATTATGCTCCCCGGTTTCACCAGTGTCCCCAGGGAAAAGTTCACAGAAGATGCTTACCGCTGATTCATCAAGGCATCTCAGTAGTCCAAGATCACTAAGGGCCTCACAACGATCTCTGTCTGACCTCAAGTCACTCAGTCCGACAACTGAGGACAGAATGACGTACCAGTACACAGACACCTACTCTGTAAGTACTGCACTTGAATTCACTCTTTTCTTGTTATCTAAAGGACCAATTTGTTATATTTTTCTTCTCCAAATAATTACATGTCAAGTGTCCATGCTGGATATATCATGTCTATCGCATGCTTGTTTTTCTTTTTATTTCTGTTTTATATTTTAATCAACAGAGCAAAGGTTCTCAGAGCGGCACACCAGTTGGCACTCAGAAGAAAGTAAAACGCACGCTACCTCATCCACCACCAGAAGAAGATACCCTCATTGGCCTCTCTGGGTACACCACTGCTTCTGCCAGAAGACGAATGTGCAGGAACACCACTATGGCGCGGGCCAAAATCCTCCAAGACATAGACAAAGAGCTGGATTTAGTTGAACGTGAGTCCTCAAAACTCCGTAAGATACAGGCAGAGCTTGATGAGGAGGAGAAAGAGATAGATGCTAAATTGAGATATCTGGAAATGGGTATAAATCGAAGAAAAGAGGCTTTACTGAAAGAGAGAGAGAAGAGGGAGAGAGCCTACTTACAAGGAGTGGCAGAAGAGCGAGACTACATGTCAGATAGTGAGGTCAGCAACATCAGAGAGGCACGAGGTAATGGTCATGGACTAGAACGGCCACGGACTGCCCCACAGTCAGAGTTTAACCAGTTCATCCCACCACAGACTGAGTCTGAGTCTCAGTATGCACAGCTTACGAGCCCATACTCCCATTATCAATATGCATCCCAAACAAGTCAGTATCCTCAGCAGACATTGTACCAGCAGCAGTCTCTTTACCATCAGCAGGTGTCCCCCTACCAATCCATTTACTCATCAGTGCCCTCACTCAATCAGCAGTCCCAGCAGACTGGCTATGACCATTCCTCACTCCTTCTGATGCAACAGAAACCCCGTCAGACTACTTTGTCTGACTTAGAACCAAAGATTACGACAAACTATGAGGTCGTACGCAACCAGCCCCTCCTAATTGTCCCTACATCCACAGAGAGTGCCTACGGAGTTTCCCATCTCGGTGGTAAATACAGTAGCCTTGATCTGAGGATGGGCTTGGAAGAGAGAGCCAGCATGGCCAGCAGTCCCATGTCCAGCATATCAGCTGAGTCCTTCTATGCAGACCTCGATCACCATAATGCCAGGAACTATGTCTTGATTGATGACATCGGCGAACTCACAAAGAGCTCCACGGGCCTTGGTTCAAGCTTCAGTATTGCAGATAAGGATATCAGCAAAGCTGACCGACTTCTCCGGACTGCTGACGTTCATCGAACTGCAGATGTGGCAGATTTTCTTGGTCCTCTTCAGGCTGCTTCTCGATTGCATTCATATGGTAAAGCAGATGAGGATTCCATGGAGGAGCCATATGAATTGAAGATGTTGAAACAGCAAATTAAGCAGGAGTTCCGACGCGGTACAGATAGTCTCGAGCAGCTTACAGGCCTGCCTCACTACCTCCACTCTGACACTAGTTTTAGGCATTTCCCCAAAGCTGAGAAATATAGCATCGGGAGACTAACTTTAGAGAAGCAAGCTGCCAAGCAACTTCCTGCCTCAGTTCTTTACCAGAAACAGCTAAAGAATAAAAAAGCACTAATTGACCCCAAAATTACAAAGTTTTCGCCCATCCAAGAGAGCAGGGACCATGAGCTAGATTACAGCAGCTTCTTGGCCTCTGCCAGCTCAGTTGGTGGACTGTCTGCCAGGGCAAGGCTCTTGCAGGATGAGATCACATTTGGTCTTAGGAAGAACCTAGCAGAGCAACAGAAATATTTGGGTTCAGCTCTTGGCGCTAACCTGGCTCAGTCACTCAACTTTGGCCAATCTCTCAACCTAGGGCCTACCATTAGGTCTTCCCTTCATGATGATGGCACCTACCCCAGTGGCACTCGGTCAAGACCTTCCTCTAGACCTTCCTCTGTATATGGACTGGACCTATCTATCAAAAGAGACTTGTCAAACTCCTCACTACGCCTGAAAACAGAGGGTGAGGGCATTGATTCCCAGTTTGTATCTAGGGCTAAACCGACAAGTCTGCCAATTAGTCAGAGCAGGGGTCGAATTCCCATTGTTGCACAAAACTCTGAAGAGGAGAGTCCACTTAGCCCTGTTGGTCAGCCCATGGGCATGGCCAGAGCATCTGCAGGCCCACTCCCACCCATCTCAGCAGACTCACGGGACCAGTTTGGCTCCAGTCACTCTCTTCCAGAAGTCCAACAGCACATGAGAGAGGAGTCCAGGACAAGTGGCTATGAACGGAACATTGCCTTTATAAACGATGACCTTCAGGGGGCCATGTCAGATAGCGAAGGTAAATTTGTTATGAGATCTGTTATCTTCAACCCTAGCTTCTGTTGATATGCATCTTTTGTATGGCTCTGAATGCATTATTTATATCTGTGTGTAAATTCAAATGTCACATTTTCCTTTACTCTTTTCATCTTTTGTCTCGGATTTTGCTTTACACTTTGCAGGCTGTCACATTTGCATGATTTCATCTTAAATTTAAATTTTCATCTACATATGTATACATAATTGTTTTTTATGTATAAACGTTTGCCTTGTGTTTCTTAGTGAATTTGCATTCTACTTAAATGCAAAAGGAAACTGGTTGTTTCCTTCACCATTATTGTTCTGTCATATACATATAAGAAGAGAAGCAATTAAGAAGATCTTCAAAACTATTCATTCAGCTATTTTAATTCATTATACACTCAGTGCCTGTGCTATTTATCACAGCCCTGCAGTTGACGAGGAGACTGATCTGCCTTCAGTCTATGAAGTTACAACATCCTATAATTCTGTCAGAATCATTTAGTGACTGGTTGTCTTAGGAAGGCAGTACACTATTTATGAATTATATAAATGAGATTGTGATCATCTTGTTTTGTGCTGTATTTGGGGGAAAAACAGTTATGCAGTTGATTGGTAGAATATAAATTTGCAGTTGATTGGTAGAATATAAATTTGTTTACTAGCTGCCAGTATCTTTCACTATCTTTCCAGCAGCTATGGGATACTAAGCCATTTATGTTAATCATAAGTAAACCTCTGTCTTCTTGTGAAGACATTCTCATATGTTATATTCATGCAAGTACCTGGTTTAGTTTGTCTAGTTTTCATTAATCCAGAATATTTCATATTGCAAAAATGCAAGTATGTCATCACACTGATTGGACAAATCAGATGACTAAATTAATGTAGTGAATTTAGATTTTCCTCTTTTCTGTGCTTTTGACAATTGATGATATAAAGTTGTAAATTAGACAAATTTAGAAGTTAATCTGGTTATAACATACATTCACTGGAGCTTAGTTTTCTATTACCTCCAAATCTACTTGTTGTAACTCGCTTGTTTAACCATTTTCTTCATGTAATGTTAATGTCTGTCATGGGTGTTTCCAATTTTCATCCTCAATAAATTCTTGCTATTTCAGTTTTTATTTGCATGGCTTATGAATGGGAATTTAAAAACATCTTGCATGCTACATGAAGAATAATATTTTTTTTTTCAGTGAATATTCTATTAATTCTCTTTCTGTGAGTTTTATATATTTTTTTACTATATCATACTATATATTTTGTACTTTTTATTGTAGTGAACATTACACAAGTATTACTATTTAGAATCACCCAGGTATTAAAGTGTTTTGAACATCAGTCTTATAGATAATATATGAGATCATTACACAGATGGTTTGGCTAATAAATATAAAGCTTCATTCAAATATATTGTAAAACATATTTTTAATCTTTGTGCTTTCATGGCGCTCTCAATGCCAATAAGACAACAGCATTGAGAAACATGTTAAAATCCCCTCTATAGTGTAATATTGTGTTAAACGTCAAGTTGTTTGAGAAGTTTAACAAAAGCCAGGTGTACAGATGGTATAAACAAACAGAGTGCAAAATGTGAATATGTATTTGTTTACAACACTAAATGCTCTGCTGGGTTTGCACAGACGTAACCCCAGCCTCTGTCTTGAGAATATCAGAAATGATTTGTTTCTCAAGCAACCTATTCTGAAGCAACATTCAAGGTTCAAACAGCTCTTTCAGTAGTCTCAGTTTGTATAAACACACAGAAGTAATAAATCACAGCTGTTTTAAAGCCATCCATTTTACTTTTAAACATATTTTATGTGGTTTCTGCAAATGTGCCATAAATGCTGTCAATAGAGCTTAGTTAGTTTTGAACCTGGGACATTTATTTAAGACCACCAATGCCGGTATTGCTAAAGAAATAATTTCCTGTATAGCTTTGTGTATACTTTCAGCACATCTTAAAAATATTATTATATTCAATTATCATTACTTTTATGGGGCTACCTTACAGAATGGAGAATGTATTTAAAAGGCTCTCTATAGAGTAAAATATTGACTACAATGGTGTGTGTGCTTTACGTATTTTAGAAAATGAGATAATTGCATGAATTAGATATTTGCAAAAGTACATCATCCACTTTCACTGCAAATGTAACTTGTGTTTTTTATTGGCAAAACATAGCTCTGTTTTAAGGCTAATTTTACTATGAATTCTCTGAAATGCAATGTTTGTACTACAGCTGGAGGTCCTAGCTGGAATGTGAAAGGTGAGAACTGTTGTTCAACAACCTTCAAAATATCATTAAGCATAAACCTACTTTCATGCGTGCCATAGTCTTGAGTGACGGCCGTTTCTCAGTGGTGCACCTCAGACCCATCCTGGTGTTCATTATCACTGCACTTCCTCAAGGTCTCTCTGACATGGCCTGATCATATCAACCAAGGCACATACATGTCTACATACACAAGTATATATGTGTGCATACTGTAGCAGAAGTTTCCTAGAACAAGTTAGTGTCATTAGGAAACGACACTCTAGGAACTTATCTTGCCCCACCAAAATGCCACTAATGTAATGGAATCCTCCGAAACTAGTTGATGTCTGAAATACGGAACAAGGGTGCTGTTTTGGTGATGCAGGATAAAAGTCATTAGAGAGAAATGTCCTTCTAATAGCGTGTTCGCCAGAATGCCAGTTTTCCAAAGTTCCATAGGTTTGCCATGGTCAATGCATCCTCTAACTTGGGTAATAAAGCCAAAATGCCACTAATGTAATGGAATCCTCCGAAACTAGTTGATGTCTGAAATACGGAACAAGGGTGCTGTTTTGGTGATGCAGGATAAAAGTCATTAGAGAGAAATGTCCTTCTAATAGCGTGTTCGCCAGAATGCCAGTTTTCCACAGGCCATAGGTTTGCCATGGTCAATGCATCCTCTAACTTGGGTAATAAAGTGACGGCACTGTTGATTTAAGGTGACATTTCCTTGCAGAAGGACAGCACGTCAAACTCTTTATTGCAAAACTCCTGCAGACAGATCCAGTTGTCAGTTTTCTTCTCACTCTATTAGGAGTTAAATTATGATTTGTGGTGTACTTGTGCTGCCTCATGAATAAAAAAATGCTTCGCTTACACAGTATTGTAATCAAGGCACCTGCAGGTTGTGCAAAACACCCAGTAAACAAAGCAGAAGATATTGCTCGCCTGATCTATTTTAGGTATGTGCTGACATGTCTGCCCTAGCTCGAGTTATGAATTATTCGAGGAATTCCCCATGTCTTTGAAGAAAGTACTAGACTACTTGAAATGGAAGCTGGAAAAACAGCAGCAGGCCTATATACAGTCTCATAGAATGCAAATCTTATATATTAGAATTGCGACTCTGTAGATGAGAACAAGTACACTGCAAGAATCCTTGTCTTAATTGGTATTTTGTCTTGTTTTTGCAATGAAAATATCTAAACATTCTTAAGACATGACAAGATCAGTTTGCTTGAGAGCCAAAATTGCATATTTAAAAAAATATATAAAAAAATGTCTTACACTCTTAAAAATTAAGGATGTTTATTGGCACTAATGGTTCCATAAAGAATCTTTAACATCCATTAAACCTTTCCATTGTACGAAAGGTTCTTCATACTTCACAATAAGAAATAAAAGTGTTTCTTTTAAGAACTGTTCACTGAGAGGTTCTTTAGGGAATCCAAAAATGGTTCTTCTAGGCCATCGCTACAAACCCCCCTTTTGGAACCTTTATTTTTAAGAGCGTACCTGCTATTTTCAGCATGAATCTCACAAAATGTAATATTTTTTTATGCTTAAAAGGATTTAGTTTTAGATTTGCTACAATTTTGCATCTCAGCTAAATTTATCTTTAAGAATGTTTTAAAATTTTTACAGAAAAACGAGATGAAAATACTAAGAAAATGTTTTTTGGTGTGCAGATTGCAATTTTAAATATGTAAATTGCTTTAGCATCATGAAAGTCTGGCGTTATAGAACAAAAGCTGTGGTTTTGTTGGAGTAGTGTTTTAATTGGATATGCGAACTAGTGTACTAGAGAGTGTACTAACAGAAAATATACTAATCATCAGACATTTGGTAAGGCATCTCATCATCACACTGTTGTATGATGGTGTGTGTATGTGCGTATATCTGCTGTGGTTCTCTATCAAATTCTCGACGCATGACATGTAGCCCGGTCCGGAAGGGACACAGCATGCATGTTCATGTGTGCATGCCTCGACACACGTCTCAGATCATTGCTTTTCCTGCCCTCACCATCCTCTGTCACTGCTTCCCCCGGGGGGTCAGGCTACTTATGTACACTTAGCATTTATCTAAACAAACGATCTTGATTTTAGACCTTGTGGAAGGAAGGTTAGTGTCCTACCCTTTTGAAACATAAATATTGTTCTTGGAAGCCCTGACCCAAATCCATCAAGCTGTCAGTTCAAACACTCTAGCAAAGAAGTGTCCCCAACTGGGGGTGGTGAAGGGATGGTTGTCTGGGAGAAAAGTGGTGGAGTGGGACACATGCCCCAGTTTTGTCTCTTGTGATGGTACAGCGGATGCTTTCTTCCTGTCTTCTAGCATATCACCTTCAGCATGAGGAGACAGACTGGTTTGACAAACCCCGCCAGGGACGTGGTGGACCAGAAGCCGGGCCAGAGAGAAGACAGGTAAGGTGGCACCCCCAGTGTGAACGTGATTTTGCCAAGTAGGATGTGTTCCTGGAAACGTTTGTCGATCCCGGAACAACATACCTATAGTTTTAACCATAAAATCTCAAAACCTGTACAATTATAGGTCAATATCAATGATGTTTTAGCCACAACACAAACTGTAAGGCTAACCCTTACAAAATCTGAATGTTATTCCAGGAACATGTTCTACTTAAACCACATTCACCATGCAAACACATGGATAGACTGCACCTATCTTTGAAAGAACACCAGACTGCATCAGCAAAAGCACGTGTTAGAACTTCAGCTATTGTTCATTTGCTTGAATTGTTTTCGTTGTTGCAGATGAAAGGCAGCCATTACCCCTTCCCACACACTCGCATCAAACTGCAACGGGACCCCAAGGACCACACCATCTCAGGTATGTTTTCATAGCAATTACTCCACAAGATACACAGCGAATTGTAGTCAATTAGGCCTGCAAATTAAATTACTGGAAGGAAAAGCAAAACAACAATCTCGTGGCCGTCGTATTGATGAAGAGATCATGTTTAAAATGATTCTGAGATACTCTGATTAGAATCCAATTACTCAGCCATTCATCAGCTAAACTGAACCCGTCTGAATTCAGGGAGTGGGCTGGGAATCAGAGTTGTGGGTGGAAAAGAGATTCCAGGGACCAACGGAAAGATCGGAGCCTACATCGCTAAGGTTTCAGCAGGAGGATGTGCTGAGCATATGGGAAAAGTTGTGGAAGGTAAGAACTTATCAATTAGTCAATCAGATAACATAAGCAAGTTCAATTTTCTTGCAGACAGTAATGGGTTAATGAAGCGAAATAGATGCGATAAGCAAATTTGGTTTCAAAACAGTTTTTTTTGCATTTTTCAATTCTTAAAGGTCATGTTTTTGGTTTTGAGACTTTAGTCTTTGCAAATTCAGGGATCTTATCTATGCACAATCAGCTTGTAACACTCCAAAGAGAAAGGAAAACTTGAAATCGCATCATATGACCCCTTTAAAGTGCCCGATTTAGAAGGCCATTTCTCATTTTAACCGGGATGGCTATTGTTGCGGTATGATTGCTCTCCTTGTTGACGAATGCTGGCTCAGCATGCTGTGTCAATTTAGATGAGCTCCTCTGAGAATAGCTCAGCTCCCTGAACATGTTTTTGCTTGTTTGATTTTTATTCTTTCATAACTCATGATTTTAGCAAAGACTCTTAGTATTAAAATGTTTCCTTTTATAGTGTCAGATCTTTTGTCTATTTTATTTGTTTCATCCCTGAAATATGCAAGCACCAATCTCCTGGCAGATTACACAAGCGTCTGTTCTCTATCTTAAGTATGCTTTTCCCTTGATACAGTATAATAATGTCTGCTGCCACAGTGGAAAATGTGCTAGAGAGCAGATTTAATATCTGATAGCTGTAGCGATATTATTATTTGGGCCAAGAGTCAAATGAATGCACAATTGCACAATGCATACTCATATGCATGCACTTCAGTTTAGAAACATGAAGTATGCATGCTTAATATTGAATAGAACAGGGATCTTCCATATTTAGCCAGCGAATCAGTAACACATTGGCAATTTTTACCATTATTACCTATACCGTTCATGAATAAAAATGGAAAGTATTACAGCATTTTTAACATTAAAGGCTTTTGAAGATGATTTTAAATGTTCACTTGTATAGCACAAAGTATTTTCAACAAATGAGCCGAATCGGATTCCCAATTATGCATGAATCATTTAGATACTAACTTCAAAGCTGAAATAATGGTTTTAGCCTAGTGGTAATCTTGCAGAGTAATATGGAGACATGACTGACATACTTGCTGAACATTTGAGAGGTTTTTGAGTGAAAACTGAAGGGATTGATTGTGTGGAGATGAACAGACATTTGAATGATATCCTGTTGTCATCAGCCGCTGAAGCACTCCGAATGCAAAAGACCTATCTGAAGACTCGCTTTCATTTGTGTAAGTGCCCGGGGTTTGGCCTGAAGTGGGCTTGAGTTTGCAGTGATGCTTTTAAAATAGTTTTTTTTTCCTCTCTGTTTTCTGCACTTGTTTTCGGTCTCTGATGCTCCAGGACTGTTTTCTTGTAGTGAGTGAAGTGCTCAGGGAAGCGTGCTATTGAAAAAGTGTGTGTGTGTTATTTATGTGTGTTGTTAATTCAATGATTGTTTCTCCTTTTTCCCCCCTACAGAATCACAATAGCATCTATCTCTCTATCTGTGTGTGAATTTATCATAATAGTTTTTGGTTCTAGTTTTGAGGTTTTTAAAAATAAACATACAGTTGGTGACTTATAAGCAACAGCTCTTTTTAATACTTTCCATAACAATATGCAGACAAATAATGTTTACTTTTGGCTAAGGTGCACTGTGAGTATCTGTTTTTACTATTCTAACCTAATAAATGTATTTCACTCACTGGTTCTGATGGCATGTGTTGTGTTCCTCAGGAATGCAGGTTCTGGAGTGGAATGGAATCTATCTGCTGGGAAAGACATATGAAGAAGTGCAAAGCATTGTGGGCCAGCAGTATGGAGAGGCAGAAATATGTGTGCGCCTGTAAGTTGCAATAATGTATTTAGTGTTCAAGACTCAATTTAGTCCAACAACACCAACAAAAATAACCATGTTAACGGCACTCTTTTGTTGAAGAAAGACAATGGTAGTACCATGTACACAACTGTTGCATTTATAACAAAATAATAACCATAAAAAACAGTACAATTAATTGAATATATTTGATCTTGTCATATTTTCCTGTGATGGCAAAACTGAATTTTCAGCAACCATTATTCCAGTCTTCAGCGTCACTTGATCCTTCAGAAATCACTCAAAATTCCTCCATTTGAAAACATTTGTTCTGCTTAATATTTTTTGTAAAACGTAGAAGTCTTTACTGTCACATTTGATCAATTCAATGTCAGTGTTGATTAATTTTAAATCATTAAAAGTATTTTAAAAGTATTAATTTTGATATAAATGACCCCAGACAGTATTGCAATATTACATTTCGTCATATAGATAGAATTTAACTATTTGTTTTAACTGTACTATATTGCAGTTTTTGGTCTTTAAGTCAATATGCTAATATATTTGTTATCTTGACTGCTGTTTAGAGATCTAAACATGCTCTCCGACACAGAACACCCTCAACAACTGGAGCTCCATACTCAGCTGAGAGCTGGTGAGTGTCTCCAACATTTTGTATTCTTCCTTTCATACTGTGCTTACATGTCTTTAATAAGCTTTTCACACTAAAACAAATCCCTTTAAGGTAAATCAGTCCACTCTGCAGCCATCTTGGTCATTGACAGGGTCCAAAATACTTGGAAAATCTATAAAAACATTGGCTAAGCTTATGTTTCACTAACATATTTCAGTGGCATCAAAAATGAGCTTTTTAAGCAGGCTATGGTCCAGGTCCAGCTAATATGCATGCAACCAGTAGGTACAAATGGCTATCTGCTATTTTAACTGAAAGTTAATTTTAACTCCAGATCATGAATCTGTGTGTTAGTATGATGTGTGTGCATCAAAGTTCTTGCACTCCTCACCGTAAAAAAGGTGTCTGTATTGATCAGTAGGTTGAAATGGGTTTGTTTTGTGTGCGTGTGTTGTAGGTGAGCATCAGCGTTCTCCAGGTATAGACCCAAAGCAGCTGGCTGCAGAGCTGCAGAAGGTTTCGCAGCAGCAGGCTCCTGCCTCCGTGCTGTCTGCTCTGGAGAGAGCAGGACACTTGCACTCTGGCACCGGATCTGCGGCTTCCAGTGGGGTCCCCAGCCCTGGGCAACCCCGGTCCCCTTCCGTCAACAAGAAACGCCATAGTAGCAAGGTGCTGTATGTGCAAAAATGTGCAGGAAGATGCCAAATACTGTATATAGAGCATATACCAAATGTTGTGTCTAAATTTTGGAACTGCAAATTAGATTTAAAGCAGACATGGATTTAGTTTTCATTATTTTGTTTTTCAGTCAGCAGAGGTTCTGAAGCCACAACCGCATCCAGTCACTGGTGAAATACAAGTGAGTCTGTGCACCAATTTCACAATCACCAAATTTATACGTACTGTATAAGACTATTCTAAAAAATAATTTAAATTGCATGATTGTGTTTTGACTGTTTGCAACATGTAAAACATTGCCATAAGCAGATTGAGTCATTATTCCCATTTCTACTTACCTGAATAAGACAGCTAACTATATTGTTTACAATTCTGTAAACAATTCATCAATGATTTTGGAATATCTATTTTAACAGAATATCTATTGATATTTTTCATGCTATTTAGGTATTTATTTAAAGTGTGAACAAAACTATTTGTGCAGGATGAAAAGTTGCAGAAGTGCGCAGTGTAGAAGTAAAGAAAAATCAGTTTTTGAGGAAAAATGTTTTGTTGTTTTTTTAGACTGTTACTGTTCACGAATAAGAATTGATTTAAATAAATGAAAAATGCACTAAAAACCAAATATTTTTTTGCTTTAATTATGATCTATCAGTCTTACTGACTCACTCCAGTATTGACTGCTTTATTGAATTTAAATTGCAGCCTTCCAGTGCTTATTTTAGAGTGAAATTAAAATTGAATAGACTATCTATAGTAGTATGTATCTCATAATGTATCTTTTCCTCAGCTTCAAATCAACTACGACAGGAATATGGGCAATCTGATTGTTCACGTGCTACAAGCTAGAAACCTCGCTCCTAGAGAAAACAACGGCTACACAGACCCCTTCGTAAAGGTCTATCTCTTGCCAGGGAGAGGGTGAGTATCCCCGTGCACACGATTCTCTGTGTGTGTGTGTGTGTGTGCGCGCGAAAGTGTTAAAGTGATAGTAAGAGTGAAGAATGAAAGATTTAGAGAGTCTCTACAGTATGTACTACGTATATTTATTTTATGTTTGTCCTTGTCCACATATATAAATGTTGTAATTGTGGTTGATTTATTGTCAGATTATTATTTTTTTTTTTAAGGTTACTTGAATCTTGAGTCACTTAATTTAGTTCCTTTACCCTTTTTTTTTTTGGAATAGCTCCTGTTATTGTTTTACTCTTGGTCTACGAAAAATCACCTTTTTTTTCAATATCAAGATTCTGCAAAACAATATCAAGTGCGCCTGTAGCTCCGTTGTACCCCTTTACAAATTATTCCATAATAATTAATGGAATGAAAATTTAAAACATGCTTAACAATAAACTTAAATGCTGGATGGCGGAATAAAAAAATGTAACTGATAAAAACTTGCATATCAAGTGGGCTTAAAGGTCTCCCTTCCTGGGCAGAAGTCCTCACCTCTTTAGTACAGAAATGACTTATTGGAAGGCTAAAGTGGAAGAGATCTTCCTTAGAGAAGTCAATTTTTATTAGCTTAGCCTTCCTCTCTTAACATGCTACCTAGTAATCAAGCTCAGTGTCTCGGACTGCGGAGACAGCGCAATCGATATGGCTTCCACACACACACACACACACACATATATATATATATATATATATATATATATACACTACTGTGTAAAAGTTTAGGGACACATTTAAGGAAAGACGTAATGTTACAAAATATTTCTATTTCATGAAAATGTGAATCTTTTGAATTATATTACTAAAAAATATTATATACATTTGTATTTATTTATAACTCTTAATTTTTGTTTTCATATGCATCATTGTAAATGTATAGTTGTTCTGTACCTATGCAAATGATCAGATTTTATATAGTTATTTCCTATTTAAAAAATATCAATTCAGTTCAAACAAATTGTTTCAAAATATTAGCCAGTTCTCTTATCTCTTCTAAAAGATCATATCTATATGAAAAACTCTCCCTGTGTATGCGTTTCTCTGTATTTTTCTCTCTTTTTACTCTTTATTACAATTCATCTTTGATCTCACTCTAGCTATATATAAGGTTGTAGCCTATATAGTCAAAGGAATATGCACAGATCTTTTTACATGTAATTAAAGTAGTCAAAAACACAAGGGAAGTTACATCACAGTCACATCCCCCATGTGTCCCATTTTTTTCAATCCAAACTTGGCATTCCATGCTTGAAAACTCTGAAAGTTGACCCAGTTTTGCTGTCATTGCTATGCTGTTTACTGAGTCACAGATTACATGTTAAAAGATGTTTATGCCTTGATGAATTATGTCTTTTTTCCTGCATCTGATTGAAAATGTGTGTGTGTGTGTGTGTGTGTGTGTGTGTTCGGCTCAGCTGAAGAAGAAAACTCTGGAGGTTACTGTGTGGGATTATGACAGATATTCCTCAAATGATTTCCTGGGTGAAGTGAGTGTTATAAGATAAAAGTGCCATTCCGTGCACACACACAATGATGGCAGAGATAAACATCATTTGCATAATTCCTTAGATGTGATTTAATGTTAGCTAGCATTTTGTCTTCTCTTCCAGGGTTTATTGTTATGAAATGTGTTAAGTCAGTTTTTGTTTCTGTCAGTATCTATTTATATTATTATCCACCAAAGAACAGTTTTTTTCTATGAAGCTTCTATGAAGTCAGATGAGTTCCTCTCTTAACATGCTACCTAGTAATCAAGCTCAGTGTCTCGGACTGCGGAGACAGCACAATCGATATGGCTTCCACCAGTATGGGGTGTGTAATGCTATATCTGCCATCTCCTAATGGCCATATCTGCGGTGTTTATGAGATTAGTTCCTATTACCTGCACAAATTATCCTTTTGTCTGGCTCTAAAAGCCCCACAGCCACGACTCCACCTGGACCACAACGTTTTTTGAGGGGTTTCTGTCTACCCTTTCCTTGGATTCTCTGACTGTTGTCTGTTTGTCTGTCTACTTTTACTTTGCATTCCATACAAATCTCCGGAATGGTTCAGCCAAGTCATGGTTGTCCAGAACGCAAGGTAGCGTGGTGTTTCTTTTTCTTTTCATTTTGCTTTTTCATTGGTGCGTGTATGTGTGTGTGTGTATGTGTGTTTGGATTTCCTTTCTTTCATTATCTAGCTGTCATTCATGTGGTGAAACCTACTGTGTCATCTGTGCGGTGTCTCAGATCTACCTCAAAGCAACCTCTACCTCTGAAGTTTGTTTGATGTCAATAAATTCTTGAAACGATTCCCTCAAAGTCAGTAAATATTAAGTACAGTTGTGCAACTCTACCATTGTGCAGATTCACACCAGCTCATTGTAAGAGTGCTGCTGTATGCTTGCATAGATTGCCCATAAACTCATGTAGAAGATGGAATTTTTCCACATTTTAGTCTGTGATCTGATAATGTCATTATCATCATTGGTGGCATGGACCGTAGATGCATTGGTGTTGCCTCTTGTGAGGTCATCTCTTTATGAAACCTCACTAGCCTCAAGTGTGGCTATAAATATGCTACATAAACATTTGAAATACATAATCTAAGTTTATTGCTCCTTGTATCCTGTCTCCACATGATAACCTCACAGTGCTGAGAACAAGAGAAGGATTAAGATTGTTATGAAATGTGTTAAGTCAGTTTTTGTTTCTGTCAGTATCTATTTATATTATTATCCACCAAAGAACAGTTTTTTTCTATGAAGCTTCTATGAAGTCAGATGAGTAAATTACACATTTTTAATACTTTTTTTTTTTTAGGTGCTCATTGATCTCTCAAACACAGCTCAGCTGGATAACACGCCTCGCTGGCACCCTCTAAAGGAACAAAGCGAGAGTATTCACCATGGAAGAACCCACCCTCCAAAGGGGCCCGGCGGCTCTGGGGGACTCGGAGGTCAGGGAGGCCCTGGAGAGCCAGGAGGTTCTGGAGGTCAAGGAGGGCAACCGGGGAACCAGCAGTCCCCTAAAACATCTGTCATCAAGAGCCGAAGTCATGGCATTTTCCCTGACCCCGCTAAAGGTAGGTCATGCATACTAAACAAAAATACACACAGGAATCACACAGGTGGTAACTAGTGCGACTTGTTTTAGAATACCATTCAAAAGTTTGGAACCAGTAATTTTTTTATTTTTTTTACAGTCTCTTACAGTCACCAAAGCTGCATTTGTTTGATCACAATACAGTTAAAATGTTTTAAATATTATTGCAATTTAAAATAACTGTCTTCTATTTTAATAGAATTTAAAATGCTATTTATTCCTGTTATGCCAAAGCTGAATTTTCTGCATCATTACTCCAGTCTTCAGTGTCACTTGATCCTTTAGAAATAATTTTAATATGCTGATTTGGTGCTCAAGAAACATTTCTTACTTTATTAATGTTGAAAATAGTTGTACTTCTTAATATCTTTGTAGAAACATATAAAAATCCTAAGGATTCTTTACAAATACTGTAGAAAGTTCAAAAGAACTTTGTTTATTTGAAACAGAAACCTTTTGTAAAATTACAAATGTCTTTACTGTCACTTTTGATCAATTTAATGCATCCTTGCTGAATAAAAGTATTAATTTATTTCAAAACAAAAACATCTTACTGACTTGAAACCTTTTAACAGGAGATGATTGGTTTAAAAGGGGTCATATGATGTTGCTAAAAAGAACATTATTTTGTGTATTTGGTGTAATGAAATGTGTTTATGCGGTTTAAGGTTAAAAAACACATTACTTTCCACATACTGTACATTATTTTTTCTCCTCTATGCCCCGCCTTTCTGAAACGCGTC